ACCTCATTCTCTGTCGTCCCCTTCTTCTCTTGCCCTCCATCTTTCCCAGCATTAGGCTCTTCTCCAGTGAGTCCTTCCTTCTCATTAGGTGGCCAAAGTACTTGAGTTTCAACTTCAGGATCTGGCCTTCTAAAGAGCAGTCGGGGTTGATCTCCTCTAGGACTGACCGGTTTGATCGCCTTGCAGTCCAGGGGACTCGTAGGAGTCTTCTCCAGCACCATAGTTCAAAGGCCTCCATTCTTTGGCGCTCAGCCTTTCTTATGGTCCAACTTTCACAGCCATACATTGCAACTGGGAAAACCATGGCCTTGACTACACGCACTTTTGTTGGCAGGGTGATGTCTCTGCTTTTTAGATTACCCAACTAGGTGACATCATCTGTGTCAAAGGGAGTGGGGTCTGCTCAGAGAGCACCAAGGACTCCTAAATCATTCGTGAAATTCAACTAGCTCCCTACTCTATTCGGTTCTGAAATGCCTCGGTTCAGTTGCGGGGAGGGAAAAGTGTTGTGTCCACTGATATATTTCATATCTTTTTAATGTGGAGCATATACACAAAGCTCTTCTTCCTTGTCTCTTGTCTCTTTCAGTCTTTGAGTCTTTCATAGATTATGTTGCAGTGGAACAGCTGGATGGAGATAATAAATATGATGCGGGAGAACATGGTTTGCAGGTATGCTTAGCCTTCAGTCGGGTCTGTGGAATTGCAAACGGTGCTAGAGAAGCATAGCATGCCTAAGCAGCATGTTCCTTTATTTAAGTGTGTTTATTTATTAATGGTTCTATCCCAGAAGGACTCTGGGTCAAACACCAGCATAGCCAACATCCCCCCGAAAAAAGCATAACAGTGGAATCACAGTGCCCTCAATCAAATCAGCAAATTTAACTAACTTGCAGAATGTTAGTCAGATAGGGATTCCTCATACTTCAAGGCAAAGAGGGTTCCATGAAGGGGGAGCCATCACAGACAAGGCCACATACCTTTTGCCTCACCCTGAGGCTCTCTGCCCATCCCCACCAAGTTGGAGAGAACGGGCGTCCTCCAGTCCCCTCTTAAATATTGCCATCCAGTGGGACCTGGGAAACATGTCTTTTCCATAGTAGCCCCCGCCCCATAGAATGCTCTCCCCACCCCGGCAATCTTGTAGTCCCCTTTTTACATTTACATTTACAGTTCCCCTTTACAGAAGGCCATAAGAAGCTGGGCCTTCCCCCAAGGGCGGGGAAGAGGGGGAGGACATCCCAGGCATGTAACGGAATGTTTGCCTTTTTTTTTTTAGTTTTTATCATGTGGTTTTTTATGGTTTTCTAGTTTTACTGGTGGTGTGAGTCTCCCAGAATTGTTTTAAGATTGGTGATCACACAAATCTTTAGATCAGGGGTAGGTTGTAAGTCAAGGACTATCTATATTTTATGCGAAGCTGAGGCCCACTTTGCCATTCTGGTTGAAAGCCCATTTTTCAGCAGATGATGGTAATAACTCAGTTGCTCATCTGTGTATTTATCTGCTCAACACACAGGAGGCAGAAAAAGGGGTCAAGTTCCTAACGTTGCCACCTGTACTACACCTACAGCTCATGCGCTTCATGTACGATCCCCAGACGGACCAGAACATCAAGATAAATGATAGGTAACATATTTATATGAATGACGGTCAGGATTCTAATGTGGGGTTTCAGTTTCTGCTGAGTGGATGAGAATAACTTTGCACCATTGGCAGCCACTGTGTGTCAAAGGCGTGCCCCTGGATGGACAGGGAGCGATGCATGACACTGAAAAGTTTGCTTTCAGCAATTGGGAGATACGAGCTCAGCGATGGCGAACCTTTTAGAGACCGAGTGCCCAAACTGCAACCCAAAACCCACTTATTTATTGCCGGGTGCCAGGTGGGCGTGGCCCATTGGGTGGGCATGGCTGCGGTGGTCATGACAGACTGGATGGCTGTGGCCAAGGTGGGCGTGGTCACCTCTATGTTGCTCGTGGGGAAGGACACCTGTGGGGGCCGGGCAGGGTTGGGGGAGATCCAGGGGGTCTCTGGCAAGTGGGGCGGTGGGCAGGAGGCTCATCCTGCGGGGTGAGGCGAAGCAAGACGAGGCGAGGCAGGGCGGGGGTGCCATTGTCGCAGGGTGAGGCAAGGCCGGGGCGGCTGCTGCCTGACACCATCGGCTTCCTCACACAGAGCTGACAGTGTCCATCAGCAGCCACAGCCTGCCAGTCCCTCGACCAGTGCACTCTGGGGCTCCACAGCCTGCCGCCAGCAGTTCAGAGAAGCCGCCTCTGAGCTGGACGGCCGGCCGACAGCTGAGGAGGCGATGCAGTGGGTGGTGCCTGGGAAAAGGAGAGCATGTGAGGCCAGGAGGGATGGGACCGGGGGGGGGGGGAGGGAAGCCAGCCATGCTGGTATGCATCTGGCCATGTGGGACCTTGGCGAGTTAGCAGGCAGCTGGTTGAAGAGGGACGGTTGCCATCTCTGGGGCATGGCACGCGTGCCCACAGAGAGGGCTCTGAGTGCCACCTCTGGCACACGTGCCATAGGTTCGCTACCACTGCACTAGCTGGAATCCTGTGATCTTGCTTACGTTATAACAAGCCTCAGAGCTGTCGTAAGGAGTATCTTGAGCTCTTTTGTACCAGTGGAAACCTCAGGAACTGCTGTTCCTCTCCCCACCCCACCCCAGTTTTAAGTAGGGCCTTCACGCTTTCCGTAAATGCATTCTGTCATAGACAGGCTCTGTCTTCGCCAAGTAGAGTTGGGAAGCACTGCAGCCGGAAAGATGGGCAATTGATAAAAATAACAAAAACACAGGTGGGCTGATGATGTGAATTGGCAGAAGGCCATGACTCTCTGTTTTCTGTCCTTTCGGTAAATGATGTAGAAATACTCAGCTTCATTTGTGGAGTCTCCGGCTTTTGCAACAAAGCTAAAATTGAGGAGACCCTGCAAACACATTCTAACCTCGGTCTTCACGGAATTAGGAAGATGGGGAAAAGATAACGCTGAAATTTTTCTGCATTTGGCAGGGTGATTTCAGGACCTGCAACAAGAAAACTTCTCTAGTAATTTTCCCTCTCTCTCTCTCTCTTTCCCCTTCTTTCTCCTCCCTCCCTCCCTTCCTGCCTTAATCTTTTACAACTTAGCAAACAGTCATACATAGCACAACAATTCTGTAGTAAAGAGAAAATATTTTTATGATACCTATACTAAATAAGAAGCCTAGCAATGCAACAGATATCTCAAAAGTGATGCATTTATGTGTTACACAGAACTTGATTACTTGAATGCATTTCCAAACCCCATATAACTCTTTTTTTTTCTCCTATTTTTGTAAAAGGTTTGAATTTCCAGATCAGTTGCCTCTGGATGAATTCTTGCAAAAAACTGATCCTAAAGATGCTGCAAATTATATTCTTCACGCAGTGCTTGTACACAGTGGTGATAACCATGGGGGGCATTATGTTGTTTACTTGAACCCGAAAGGGGATGGAAAAGTAAGTAATAGAAAAACCATCAAGTATTTAACTGGAAATCCTTTAACTGAAACACCTGTTGACAATTTTAGCATCAGGAATGATATATTTTTTCCCCACATATAATGTCTTGGAAATTATGGAAAATTAACTCTGAGATTTTAGAAAAGTTATCAATTTTATCAGATGTCAGGGGAAAAATTGTTTGCATAACTTGAATAATCTATAGTTTCTGTTTAAATGCTGCATCGCCAAATATTTTAACGTGCTAGATATTAAGTTATTTTTTTTTAAGAAATAGCCACGCAGTCTTCTTTCTGTATGCTACGCTTAACGTGCAAGAGGGATTTGAAACAATTCCAGTGCAAAGGAACAAACAAGGAGAAACTTGGATCTGTTCTGAGACTTCTTCTTGGCTTGTACAATCTAGAATGAATCCCATCTGATTGCTCCAGTGTCAAACTTAAGGCTTTCTGTTATTCCTTGGCATAACAGAAAGTTATTCTGAGTTACATATTTGGGTCTGCTTGGGACAAGGCAGTTTG